GGACCATTTCATACTATATACTTAATTACAGGTCCTCCTGATGGAAACAGTTACATTTGTTTTCCCGAAATTTGGATTTAGCGCTTGCCACGTGACTGGAAAAGCAGCCAAAAAGAGCGCACGTTAGATTCAACCGAACTCCAGCTATATATGTTAGTTATGCGAGTTGTATACGTAACAATAGCCTCCATTTGGTGCGAAAATATGTTCAGATATTTGTCCGCGGGCATTATCTGTTTCGAGAAGCGAACAGTTTTCCGAGAGCGAAGCTCCGAGGAAAACTGTGAGCTTCGAGGAACAGATAATGTCCAAGGACAAATATCCCAGCCTATTTTCGCCCCAAGTGGAGGCTACTGTGTTTATTATTCTTCAAACCTTTTTCGCAACGCGCGCAGTTTTGAAAATTGGGGAATATTTTCGGATATTCCCTAGTTTTAGCTTGGCCTATTCTGTCACGTGACGTGTTTAGACCAATCGCGCGCGAGCGAAAATATTTAATGGGTTATAATCTCGGAAATTCCACAGTTTTAGCTGGGGAATATTCGGTCACGTGACGCGTTTAGACCAATCGCGCGCCAGCGAAAATATTTGATGGATTATAACACGGAATATCCCACGAGTCACTTTTATTTTACTAGGTATACAAACGAACCTTAACGCGAGTGTTTATACCAAGAAAATACAAGTGACAAGTGGGATATCCCAATGTATAGCACGAGGGAGCATTGCATAACTATTTTATAGCATGCCATGAGAAAATACCGTGGCCAACACAATCACTGCGACATACGCGTCACGCATGATAGGAAGGTTAGAAGTAATACCGTCAAATATTCAACGGCTTTCCTATATTTTGACTGGCCGTACTTTCTATGGCATGGTATAAATAGCAATATATATATATACTAAATGTTTACTCAATCAGTCAGTAATTATGCAATTCAGTCAGGCAATTGATCTGTGAGTCAGCTGTTTAGGCTGTCAGACAGTCAGTCATTTGGTCATTCATTCATCATTCATTCATTCGTTTGTTCGTTCGTGTGTTTTTTCGTTCGTTCGCTCGTTCGTTCATTCATTCGTTCATTCGGTCAGTCAGTCAGTCAGTCAGCCAGTTGCTAGGGATCAGTGAGTTTAGTTGTTCAGTGAAGTAGTAATCTAGCGAGCTAGCTGACCGCTAACTAGGTTGTTACTTCATGTTTGTTACTTATTAATTAAGTTTTACTTTCCTGACGCGGAAATGATGTGCACTGACGTAATTCTTTTACTTTATACAGGAGGACTTCCTTGCGAAAACTTTGGCGTAGGGATAGGCGACAGAGCGGAAGTTAAGAATAGTCAGATGACCGCTTCCACAGTTTTAGGAAGCGACTACAGAGCCTTCAACGCCCGCTTAGATTCTCCCATAGACAGAGGATGGTGTGCCTCGGCAAATGGAGCACAGGGCAGCTATCTTGAGATCGACTTGGAAAGAGATTACGCGTTCTGCGGGATAAGAATACAGGGTGCGGCACATGGACACGTGAATACTTTCCAGCTGAGATTTGCTCGTGATAAAGAAGGTTCTTTTATTCCATTTGGCACGGTAAGAGATGATGTTACAACCGAACATAGTCTGCAGTGCAGGCGTTATCTTGGAACGGATCGCTCGATAGACCAGGTTTTCGATTCCACCATCTTGGATTGTAATTGGAGTGCAGGGGGTGAGGTGGGGCTGGTGGGGCACCTCACGCCTACGCTCTCGGCAAATTTTCCACAACCCTCCACAGTTACCAAATCCAAGATGGCGGCCTAACACTCGGCTTCACGGGTCCACTCAATTTGCTAAGTATTTCCTTGTAGGCTTTAGGTCTCGAGTTCTCTAACTAAAGAAACCAGCTGGTGTTTCCTTTTTAAAGTGTGAAGGGGTTCATTCAGTGAACTAAGATTCAACGAAATTTAATGGCCCTAGCCTGTACGATGTAGTAAAGGTTAAGTCTGTATACGAACTAAGTGGCCCATCAGGCCGACGCTTATCTCTGGTTTCAGAAGCATTAGGTGACTATGGGTTTTTCTTCTCCCCCTTGTATTGGGATGTTGGTCCATTGCAGGATTACCCCTAGTATTAAATTTGTCGGCACTCATTTATACACCTGGGAGGAGAGAGGCACTCTGAAAGTAAAGTGTTTTGCCTAAGAGCACAAAACAATGTCCCCGGCCAGGGATCGAACCTGGACCTATCGATCCAGAGGCAAGCATACCAACCATGAAACCACCGCACCTCCTCCTAGCCTGTAGTACAGTGGGTGCTTAATCATGAGATTTAGCCATAAGTGTAATAGCGGAGCTCCTGCGTGCCAAAGTCGGGCAAGCGGAGCCCCGTACGTTAGAAAATTTGGTAACCATCGATCTCAGGAAGTTGACCGCTGACCAGGTACTAGTTTCCCATTGGATCGCAGGTCATTACTCTGGGGGAGAAGGAGGGAGTACGTGCAAACGTAATTTAAGGCGGATCAACCCCTGCCGCGTTTTTGGGTATAGTTTGTTAAAATTTAACTGGAAAAATAGCGAAACCACACACTGAACAATTACATGCTCGCAATTGAGCATTCTCTAAGTTTCCGATCCAAGAAAAACAAATCCTCCTTTTCCTTTATGGTTAGTCACTGCGATCAGGAGCTCCGCTTTTAGGGTTGGCTAAATCTATAGATTAGTTGGTTTTGAAGAATCTGAGAGAAAAACACATTACTCTTCTGTGATCACCGCTTTCGCAAAGCGTGTTTCCTGTTCCTCTCATACCAGGAAGGACACATGGTTATTGATTAGTGCGGAAACGTGGTTTGAGCGCTGTCAGGCATTGAAATCCGGGGATCGTGATTTCAAGTTGCGCGTTCTGACGACAATAGCTGGTGTTGTTCTCAGTAGTCCCGAGTTCTCTCGTCGGCCATGCTCGTAAACAGCCCAGTTGTCTGCTTTGTGCAAGTTGGGATCTGTAACCTTGTCTTAAATTATTTGTTTCACTGTTTGTTTCCCTTGGTCGTGAAAAGCTCTATTGGGGAGTGGTCCATCAGTATGATTTTTATTTATTTATTTATTTATTTATTTATTTATTTACATCTCTATTTTTGTTTAGACTTTTAGCAGGTTTACAGAGGAAGAGGAAAACGAAGAGTTTCATCCTACAACACCGTTTCCAGTCGGAAGTGTTGTTCGGCTTTACCCTTTAACTTTTTCGGGCACTGTACCTTGCGTAAGACTTGAACTGTTCGGGTTTCCAGGTATGGAGCTGTGTAATGCCATCTATAAAGTAAATAATGATTATAGTATATGATTTTGTACGCTCATCACTGCGTTTAGCGAAAACTGCAAAGCTAGAGTGGCCTAGTTACTACGCCAGATATCCCGACCACGAAGGATCGAAATCGTTATACGGTGAGAAGGTTACTCGTAAGTTCGAGGATGCATTCATTCCTGCATTCACTCACTAGCAGGTACTCGTTACACCAGTTAAAGTGATAACAAGAAGACCAAGTATTTGCTTAGAGCAGACAATAAGGTTACATCTAAAATAATAGGTAAATATATCCACTTAATGTTTCAAAGAAGAAAAGAGATTCCTAATTCACAAATGTAATAAGCGTTTCGAGTTTTCCAATTAATCTGTATACAGATATGATAAATTTTGTTTTTTACGTTTTATTAGTGAATGTTCAAACCTTAATTGTAACTGGACCAATACCTCCCTTTGGAGAGTAAGGCGCAATAAAGATATACCATTACTGTTACTGTTACTGTTACTGTTACTGCTACTGCTACTGTTACTGTTACTGTTACTGTTACTGTTACTGTTACTGTTACTGTTACTGTTACTGTTACTGTTACTGTTACTCATTCATAAATTTAAAAAAATATATGTGACCTTAACACTGTACAATCTCTGAGCTTAGCGGAATAGGAGGGAAGGTCTAAACTTTTCATTTCCCTTCTTTTTACTTATGGTTCAAGTTTCAACTTCTTCTTTAGTGGGTCCCACCCTTTTCCGTGCTTCCTCTGTTATAAATATATGACGTGGAAATTGCAAAGTACTTCTTGCTTTTTCTTCGAGTTCTCATCACCTAGGTAATGACACTTCCCGCTTAATTTTTCCCTGCCTCGGGCACCTTTACTCGGGGTTGGCGGCTTCCCCTCCACGCCCTTCCCAACTTAATTAATTTCTGGGTTGTGTGCTGCTGTTTGAATCACCCTCAAGCTATTAATTTGCTTTGTTTCCAGAGCCAACAGTCACATGCTCGCCACAGTATATCATTGCTGAATTCAAAAGAAGCAATTATCCGGATCTTGAATCCTCAGAGATGCATCTAACAGATACAAGTTGCTCGGCCGAGTCCGAAAACGACACTTACATAACCTTCCACATTCCTTTCCGAAATTGCTCTACTGTCAGGGTACAGACACCTGACCACCTGGAGTACAGAAATGAGGTTATGCGTCGTATAACGCAGGGGGTAATTACGTACAAAATGGATATGAATTTTCCCATCACCTGCAGGTATGACCGGAATGTTACATTGAACGACTTGGATATTGAAGTCGAAGAAGAGGAAGAAGAAACTGGTACGTACATAACACTTCCGTTTTTATGAGTCAGCAATAAAATCCCTAAAATTTGCTGCCGCTAATAGATGTGTCGGCGCTTTACTTTGGCTCATTATCATGAAGTGACCGTCGGCAGCCATTCATCACTCAACTCCATCTAGTAAAATAAGCATAAATAACTCATGAAAAGAGTTTTTTGAGAGTAACTAAGTGTCTTGCTCAGAAACTGAATATTGCAAAAATAGCGAAAAGAGTACTTCAAAGATAAGGTTATTATTTTCATTGGTCAAAGCTGGATATTTGGGAGTTATTAGTGTCTTAACTTCTAAGAGTTTAAAAATGGTGAAATACGAACTTATTGGCACCTTTTGTAAAATTTTATTTATTATATTTATTTATTAGTTATTATTTTCTAAATTTTATTTATAATTTTATTTATTTAGTTATTTATATGTTATGTCCAAGTAGCTATAGATATATTTTTATTGTTCTTGATCAGCTTTTTGTAATATTTTTAACGTGGGTGTGGTGTCTAACGACTTTACCAACGAAATCAAATGTAGATGTAGATGTAGAAGGAGTGTGGATGCAGCGTATTCAAAAAAAGAGCTGAAACTCGGCTATCCGAGAAAAATATATTATCTTAATTTTGCAACTACCTCATACACAGCTTGTTCTCTCTTCCTTGTGTTCTAAATTCCCCAAAACTAAAAATAAAAAAAAACTACCTGAGACGTTTGACCGAGGTCCAAACAATGACCTGGGTCATGTGTGAGCCCAGATAGTCCGGCGAGATAGCGATATGCCACCGCGCCTCCATCTTGTCTTTCTCATTCTGCAGGTGATCTCCATTTATTTCATCTTTATACCTCAAAGAAAACAATTATCCAATTTAGTGAAGTTGATTAGGTCCATGATCTTCCTTTAGTGAGTCGCTAAGTTACTTTCTCTTAAAGTATCTTTAATTTTCTATCCGCAGAAGAACCA